TGGAGTTATTACCCTTGGTTTCATTAATGCGATGCATGCGTTCCATGATGTTGTATTGCACTCATTGATCTACCAGTTATGTTGAATGATTTCTCTTTTAATATCAATTACTCACAAATACTTCATATATTTCAATCATACAAACAACTGCTCATTCAATGTGTGACGGGCGTATTATATACCGCTCGCGGTAACCTTGTTGACTTTTTATAACCCTGCCGTCACAATGATTACCTTTTTGACTATTTATAACCCTGTCGTCACAATGATTACCTTTTCGACTTTTTATAACCCTGCTGTCGAAATGATTACCTTTTTGACTTTTTATAACCCTGTCGTCACAATGATTTCCTTTTTGACTTTTTATAACCATGTCGTCACAATGATTACTTTTTTGACTTTTTATAACCCTAGCTGCCGTCAGAATGATTACCTTTTTGACTTTTTATAACCCTGCCGTCGGAATAATTACCTTTTTGACTTTTTATAATCCTGCTGTCACAATGATTACCATTATGACTTTTTATAACCCTGCCGTCTGAATGATTACCTTTTTGCCTTTTTATAATCCTGCTGTCACAATGATTACTTTTTTGACTTTGTATAACCCTGCCGTCAGAATGATTACCTTTTTGACTTTTTATAATCCTGCTGTCACAATGATTACTTTTTTGACTTTGTATAACCCTGCCGTCAGAATGATTACCTTTTCGACTTTTCGACTTTTTATAACCCTGCCGTCAGAATGATTACCTTTTTGACTTTTTATAACCCTGCCGTCACAATGATTACCTTTTTGACTTTTTATAACCCTGTCGTCAGAATGATTAATTTTATGACGTTTTATAACCCTGTCGTCAGAATGATTAACTTTTTGACGTTTTATAACCCTGCCGTCACAATGATTAACTTTATGACTTTTTATAACCCTGCCGTCAGAATGATTACCATTTTGACTTTGTATAACCCTGTCGTCACAATGATTACCTTTTTGACTTTTTATAACCCTGCCGTCGGCATTATTTAACGTCGGACAACCTTTATTTAGTACATCACATGATTCTTTCTAGGATAGCTATTGGTTAACTATCCTTGTTCTATTTGGTATAGTTAGCATCTGCCCTTGACAACGGGAACTATACCTGGAGACGCACTATACCTTTTTTTTGGACCGTTGAGACTGCGGAAAAAGTAGCGTGACGCTAAGAGTTGTGCCCCTTCTCCTAGGGGGCGCTGTACATATTCCACTTTCACTTTATTGTTGTCGTCTGCCAAAATGGCTATGAATTTCGGGGCCAGGAATGCCGATTGCTTCGCAGAGGCTCAGCAATGCCTAAAGACGAAGCAGGCGACACCATTTGACGTCGCAGTCCTTAAAGACTTCCTACTGGAAAGGGGAACCGTATGTGACCTAGCGGTGATTCAATCCAGTGAATTGAATACGCATCAAAAAAGGAGGGATCTACATTTTTTTTTTATCTTATTGCCATTTGTTTTTAATTATTAAATATGCTACTTTTTATTGTTAAATGACAGTCATGGGATGTACTAAATCTATAATGACCCTTTCCCTCGGGAACAGTTCTCTAATAATGTTGTCTGGAGAGGTATAGTGCCTCCCCAGACAACATTAATCATTATAAGAGAACAGTTCCCTCGGGAAAGGGTCATACTAGAATAATAGTCACGTCACAGGACAAACAAACTATTTACGCATGTAAATACGATATCTGATATAAAGTGAAGTGAAGAGTGTACGATGTTCAGTGTTTTTGTTTGAGAATTGTACAGGTATCTCGTAACATAATACACATGCTTATTTACATACGCAAACAAAATAAATTGTAAAGGCGTCTTCATCAATTCAAGGCGTTTTAGGGTAATGAGGGAACGGCCCGTCATGGTACGTAATTTTGTCAATACATTCACACATGAATATAGATATAAACTTCATGCGAACTAAACATGTCGTAGCTATCCGCATTATAATGCAGTATATTCCCTCAGCCATGACATATTAAATAGGTCTTGAACAGCAGTCTCTCCTGAAGTAGGTCTACTGTATTGACTTATAGCGGACAGGTACGCTGTTAGCTAGCTATGAGCCGTAGTATACACCGTGTATTAGATAGAGCAACGTCTACTACTGTACACACATACATAGAAACACACATAAAAAATATACACTGTAACAGTCAGCTGTTCGACGATATGTGCAAATAGCCCGTACCCGCCATAACACAATGAAGCTCTACATCCGATGCAGATTACTATGTGCTGTATGGTGTGCAATAGAAATTCTTTTCTTCGGAGGAATTATATACGGCTGGGGGTCACTGGTATTTGTTCTAAAAGAGGAAGGTTTTTATTATGAGGAATGTTTAAGTGTCATAACACCTCCTGCTGAACAGCTATATTCTACCAACATCACCAACACTACCATAGTGAACTTGCGACAAAACACAATTTTGACACCCGCTGTCAATGATGACGATTCGGACACACGTCAATGGGATGGCGACAATGTTTATGAAACAGATTCCGGGACAGTTCCGCCGTTCCGTACCTGTCCTCGACAGGAATCCAAGTTGAATCTTTGGTTTTCTGTGGCAGTCGCCTTTATGTATCTGTCGATGGCATTCCTGGGAGAGCTGACCACCCGATTAGGAACACAGGTCACCAGACATATATTTACGTGAGTATTAAAAATATTTGTTTATTCAGGTAGAGACAGCATCAGAAATGCTAATATGTATATTGTTTCCAGCTGAAATATGGTGAGATACCTGTTCGTAACAAGTTTAACAATACACAGGCTGTTTGAACCAGGTCAAATCAACTAATCAGAATATTCGTCATGTATTATGCAGGTATACACCTGGTCGATAACCCGGGGAGTGGGCCGGGGTACATACAAGGGTGAGCAGCTATAATAGGTCATAAGTCGCAAGTGGCAGAAACATCATCTACTAGCATATACAATCCAGGATGTAATTATAATATTTATACCTGTCTTTATCATCAATATGTAAATTAACATTAGTAGGTGGTGCATTAGGATAAGCAACGGTATACAGATAAATTATGTTGTGTTGTTTACTGGCATCACACATATCTTAGTAGTGGTTGTCAGTAACATCACGTGGTATAAAATATGGATTTCAAGAATTTTATTTCACTCAGACACACATAAAGGTGTATAACAAGAGGTCATGTATGTATAACAAGAGGTCATGTATGTATAACAAGAGGTCATGTATGTAT